ATTATGCATCAAAGTTAGAAAGGCATTGCCACAAGCAACATAAATGATGTATTGATTTACATCAACAAAGCTCAGCTTCTGCTCACATTGTGTAGGCAGTCACCTGGAGATGTGACAAACATGTCTCCTCCTTTCTGGGACCTGACCATCCTGCCTGCTTGGGGACAGATGCCGAGGTGGCCCCATGCTGGCTCCTCTAAGTCCCATAGAGACATGCCTTTCATTTACACAATATGTAAGTTACTTAGGACCTGGATACCTCCTTTTGCACTTCCCCTATAGCAGCTGTTGCAAGATCAAGGTGAAAACAGTCTATTCTGCTCGAGTCTTTCATCATAAGTGTTACGGTAACCTGCAGACATTGGAAGAACACTAAAGTTCATGTGAAAAGACATTCTTGTTACTAGGATTTTAAAGAGCTACAGACTTGGGAAGATGTGTCCTCCTGGTACTCCATACTATCTCCTGAGACAAAGGAAATCAGAAGAGAAAACATTTGCATTAACGAGTACCCCTAGACAAAATAATTTGTTACTTATCTTAGACAGGAAGCCAGCATCACACCCAAGGATCACGATCTTCACAAAATGTGCATGTAAGCAACACCTCGAACATTTAATTTGGAAGTATTTGTGTTCCCTGGAATAGGAGACAGTGCAGCTCAGGGCGTTGGCAGCCAACCAGCATGATGACCGCAAACAGCATTTGCATTTCTACCTACAGTCCAGTTCAGAAAGTCAATGAAGGTATGCTGTCTGAGCTGCTGAGGCAGCACAAGTATGAAAAGAAAGCAGGAAACCAGCTTTAAAATGAAAGTGGTAAGAAAAGAGGGATTTGAGACCTAGAAGGGTCATCAGTTCAAATGCTTTTGCCCATTCTTCTACTATTTCCCTGTGGAAACAGTAGAGGTGTGCATATCCCATGCATAGAAAACAATATCTTAACTGGACATGACCAAAAGCATTCTGATGCAGGCAAGAGCCATTAAGTAATTCAATTGAATTCCAGAATGCTGGGAATGATCATCAGAAAAGACTTAGAAGATTTTAACAGGTAAAAGGTCATCAGTTTATGAATATAAAGTCAATTCTCTGCCTTCATAAAATCTCAGCTCTTGAAACTGTTTACTCTTCCACAGAAATACAATGGAGCAGCATTTGACCTCAGAGCCAAACTTGAGATTTTCTGTTCTAATTTCTTTATTTTGGTGAGAAACAGCTCCTGGTATTCACCAGATGACTAATTTCTGCATAACTTCTCCTTTCTGGTTTTGATTTCTCTTTAGCCAAAGAACTGTCATTAATGTTAGAAAGTGCTAGTGAGTATTGATTTGTCTCACTCCAGCACCCTTCTTCTGAGCAGCACAGGGACAATATCTGATTTCTTTTCAATTTTTTAGCAGTTTATGATTTCTCCTTGCAGCTGCAAGATCTTTTTTTAAACCTCACGTGCATACGCACTCACACACACCCCTCTCCCAGCAAAACTATTTTTCCTTCATCATCTTTCCACAGGTTTCCAGTGCTGGTCCCTCACATCTGAGGGTCCTCTCCCTGCCTGAGATGCAGCCCAACCCATGCACCTACAAACAAGCCAGAGCAAACCAGGCACAGGTTCTTGGAGGAGTATATGGAGTTAGGGTTCACGCTCAGCTTTAGCATTTCTGCCTTCCTGCATTTCTTCAGGTTTTTTTTAAGGTCCTCTCTTTCCCTCTCATCTCTCTATCATGCACTCTCCATTGATGCATCTCTTTGTCTTCTTTCCACAGAGAGATATTTCTAACCAACTTTTATTTCTGTCATGCTGCTCTTCCTCTCTTCTTTTAGCAGTGTAATTTCTCCTCATGTCAAGTGACTTCTGCCTTTTCACCCACCTTATTTTTCCTAGGCTTGAGACTCTGCTCATACCAATGTACAACTGTGCAACTACCCATTGTCTTTAGTTAAGTAGTCTTGATTCTGTGAGAAAATAATTCGCCTACACTGATGTCTCTAGTATCAAGCTTCGGCTATTGTTTTTCTTTTCATGCCCATTGACACAATATAGTACATGCTCTAATAATACCTTTCCAACTGTTAACAATCGCTTTTTTCCCCAAATACCAAGGATGGATAAAAGTTCCCATTCAGACACATTTTTCAACAAATATTTCCCAACATGCTGCCTTTATTTAGGAAAATATGCATTAATCCAAATAAATAATGACATCCCATGGTACTGGCAATGAAAAAAATAGAAAAGACACAAACGTACAGAGGGTGGTATACTTTTGCATTGCTTTTCACTTGGGGGAAAAAAAAAAGGTCTGACCTTTAAAGAAATCCCATTCCCTCCTACAGGTTGAAAATATAAAAATAGACATTTTTTTTCCATGTAATTTCTTGATGATCTGTGCAGACCCGTAAAGTCAGAGGCAGTACTGGTCAGATGCAGCTATGTTGATTGAACTTTGGCAAAAAGCTGGTGCAGCTTTTGATTTTGCTGTATTCAGTTTTGCGAAGCAATCTTGGCCCCTCATTTTCAGGAACATTAAAATTCACTGAGTTTAACTTTTTTTTTTATTAAAAAAGGAGAAATGACACAATTTTAGCCTGTGATTAGGAAGCAGTCTTTTATTTATAGACCCATTTGTTGTCTAAAAGCATTTCTTTTACATAATTGCTTCTTCATACTGTTTGCTTATGCCGATCAGAAAACATATTTTGGAAGATTAGGTCATTTGTACTTGTGTAAATCTGAGCAATAATTCAAATAAAGCAAGGTCAGTTTAAATGAATACCATATCTAGCACAGGGATAAACCTATTAAATTAAAATCACTGAACATAAGACTGTTGATGATGTACTTACAATGGAAAGTGTCACATGAAGATACTTTCTATTTACTAATTTATGTCAATGACACAAAGATGGGATGAAATTCCCTTTAAAGTTGAAAGGTGGTTAGTACATGTCAGAAGGTCAAATAGGAACTGATTTCCAGTTGGTAATAAGTTAATGTTACTTCTATCAGTCATAGTAAATAGTTAATACTTGATTCCTAATATAAAAAAAAAAAAACAAACCAAAACCCCAAGAGTGATAAACAACCCAGACAGCCAAACAAAGGAGCTGAGTTCATCTCAATGTTACCTTTTAAGAATCTGAATCAGAACGATTACATTTGCAGTATCTATTATTGGGTTTTTGAAACAATGTAATAATTCCGTCTGTAATATTGGAGTTTCAATCATTCATGGACAAAAGCATAATTTCAGATGTATACCTCAAGCCTGAAAACTTTACATAGGTGCTCAACTTCACATGTGAGAGCGGTTCTACTGAATGCAGCAGACCTGTAGTTCTCTTCTGCCCATGAGATGAGTTTTAGCTATCAGATAGAATTTGCTGGTAATCATTACACTGAAGGACTGATTTTCAGACTGTTTGGAAAACATTTGTGTTTGAAATTTAGATACCTAAATTGCATAGTATTGCCTTTGTTTCTCCCGTGGATGACTGAAATGGGAACTTATCCAATGAAATTACATCCATCCTCAGTGTTTCAGGAAAATACAGATGTGCTTCAGCTAAAGAATGTACTCAAAGGCTTTGCTGAATGAGGCCCCGATGAATAGAGGGGAGCTGCACGATGGTCATTTTAATAAACATTCACCTCTGTTAAAACTAGAATATTTAAGAATTTTGTTATGTGCACAGAAATCTTCCTGACCAGGAATGAGAACAAACAGAACCGGGGACCAGCTGTATCAAGAGCCTCCAATCAGACTTCTCACTCCTTGAAACTTTTAAGAGTGTGACACAGGGATATGTTTACAGTTGGTATGCTTGTCAGTTCATAAATCCTGGGGCAATTCCATGAGATATGAGTTCCACAGTCCCTTGGGTAATGGGGAAGGAATGAACAAAGAAATGAGGCCACAGATCAGGTGCCTGCTCCTGTTTACAAGCTGCTTGTCAGCGTATTTTTTGTATGCATTTACATGTACATAGAAATACATATGCATGTAGAAAAAAACTGTACCCAGTGCACGGATGGAGGATCCCTGTTGGTACCACATTCACAGGACATAAAATTCCTGTTCTGATAGTACCTGTGTTGTCAAAATTGAGCTAACCCACTTTTTATCCTCTTTCTCACAACCTCAATGTTTAGGGAAGACTTCCTGATGTTTAGCACTGCAGGTTGGCCTTTGGCCCAAACCCAGTGTTCAGCAGCTGCTGCCTGGTGAGCCCACTCATGATGCAGCCATTTGAGCACCCTGGCACACGCTGGGTGTGATGTGGGGCACAGCACCACTCCATACTCTCTGATGGGCTGCAGATGTAACCATCCTGATTCATCATGCATCTCATTTTCTTTGTGATGCTATGGTTGTCTTTTTACGCAAACAGTCCTTCTTCACCTCCCAAGCCCCTGTAAAACCTCACAATAGTTGGAAGATGACAGTATTCCCAATGCCGAGGGATGTTGCATCCAAAGAGGGGTTGGGGTTTTCCTGCACTGGGTTAATCAAGAAGGGTTAAGTCATAATTTGTAAACAAAATTGAGTTTAAATAAATTTTCGTGATGCATTCTGCTTCAAGTATCCCCTCAAATGTATCACTTAAAGTTAGCATTAAAGGAAAATGCTATTAAGAGGGCATAAGGTAAACTCATTTAGTTGCTCAAATTGTATAACACAATAAATTAATATGGTAATGCACCTTCAGAGACCAGAAGTAGATAATAGAGGTGAGCAGAGGTTTTCTAGCTTGGCTTCAGAAAGGCAAAAGTAATTTATCATTCTGTTGCAGTTTTGGAGGGTAGCATTTCTCATTTCTTCTGACTCTCCCTCTGTTACTCTCTTAGTTTCATTTTTAAAACATCCAGGTTTTGAGGTTTTTCTTTCTTTTTATTTCAGGTAGAGCTCCTATTGAATTCAGCCATACATAGCTTCCCCTGGAGAGGCAGGAAGCATCAGACACTTTTAATTTCAACTTTGTGCTTACAGGCTTTAAGAGGCTGCAGCAACCAAGGACTTGTCTCTCTCAGACCTTCAGCTCACTTCCCTAGCTCACATAAGCAAGGTATGGAAACAATAAAATAGTATATTTTCTTTTTTTGCTTCAGTTGTCAGGGTCAGGGAGAGACTGCAGCTATGATTGGTGGTTTATGAATAACCCTACTCCTTTTCCTTATGGCCACACAAATACGCATTATGTCTTTATTACTTTCGTGCATTGTCCTATATGGGCCTGTTTTTAATTAATAGAAAACAATGCCCTTTTGACCTTACCCCACAGGAAATACTGCCTCATTTATGTTAGTCATAAATTAAGCTAATACAGCCTGTGTGTCCAACATATTTCTCTCAGGTAACATTCACTCAAATATTGAACAGGGAGAGAAAAGAAGGGAAAACCTATTACTAAACCATTGGCATCAAGATGGACTCTGTATTTGTTAAAAGGCACATCTAAGAGAGAGACACTTCATTGTGCCATAATAATTGTGGGAAGTAGAGAAAAGCATTTGACACAATTGAAACAGAAGGAAATTTTAGCAATGCAAAATCTAGTAGCCCAGACAGGAATGTTGTCTGATGCTATACTGAGGCAAACATCTTCAAAGGAATTTAGTGGAGAATAAAAACCTTTACAATGGAGAATAAAAGATACTCTACAAATATATCATAATTAACCATACTAATTTGGCTGTATAATTAGATAATCTCTTTGGTTTTCCATTCGCTTTTTTAACTTCAAACAGTGCACAGCAGTAGCAATACAAAATATTTTACTTTGCCTTATGTGTATGCTTAATGTTGGCAAACAGTAGATATCTCCTCACAAATGAGCTGTCACAAATAACTCCTTGTTTGGTGGCGACATCCTTGGTCTACATCACAGCTACAGGAAGCCTAATCAATTATGCCCCTAAAATGAAATAAGAGCTCTATGGTGCCAGGGGCATAGCTCATAGAATTAATTACAAGGCAAGTTTACATATTGAAGTACCAGTTTATGGAGGGACTAATAATTTTTGATGAGACTTTGACAGGATATTATTCACAAGGATTATGAAAACACAAAAATCATTTGCAACTGGCTACTCAGACACTGGTTTGCGCCTCACAGCTGTACATCCCAGCTGTCACCCAAGGCCTGCCCCTTTCCTTTGTCAAGTGCAGACAAAGATACCCAAGGATACCATATCATTACCCAAGCAGAGAGCACAGAGCAGTCCCCCTCAGCTGCCTACATCCACCCACACAACGTCTCATCTCTCTGCCTCTCCCTCCTACAATTCTATGTTACATCCTGCAGATTATGGCAGTGTGGGGCACACAGAACATTTTTTTTTTTTTTTTTTTTTTTTTAAGACTTGGAAACCCCTTTGAAGAAAAAACCCCGAGATGTTATTAGTGGCTGCAGTGAGAGCAAGGCTGCAGGGTGAGCTCTCGGATCCCAGGGAATCCAGCCAGGGGCAAGACTGTGCAACTTCCCCAACCTCAGTGCACTTCCAAGGGCTGATAATGGGAAATAGGATTAGTCAGGCATTGGTGTTTGCTGAACAAAAACAATGTGGAGAAAAAAAATGTAAAAGATGAACAGTGACAGATGGCAGATCTTTGGGGGAAACAAGCAATTTTAATGGTAAAAGCAAACAAAGCAAATTGTGGCATGGATTAATGCAGAGCCTTTCATGCAAGAATTGAAAACATGTTGCTAATCAGCCCACCAAATCACTGAGAAGGCAGGTAAAACCTTTACACCACTGGCTGAACTGAGGCACAGAAAGGACAAGCACCTTGCCAGTATACTGCAGCCCGACACAATAATGCAAGAATGCCTGGCCAGCAGTGGGGTGCCATCCACTGTTTTTTACCAGCCCGCTGAGTCACATCCTGGAATGGCTAAAGCTGTTTAATGAATTGCCTTTATGAAGCTTCAAGACATTAGGACCCACATAGAATTCAAATGATGAATAGCCTGCCTCAAAGATGCCATTCATAATCAAATTTTAAATGTAATTCAGCTGAATGGAATCATTGCTCTTCTGTGCACCACTTACAAGCCCGGATGTTGGTCTCTGTGAACTGGGATAGTACCTTCTCCTGAAAGACAAGCTGTGAGTTATCCTGCACAGGAGCTCAGGAGAGAGCTGCACAAAGCCACACGGATAAACTTTCCACAGAGGGGGGTAGGAGGGAAATGAGATGTATGAAACAAGGGTGTGAGTACATGTGAGCATGTCTATTTATAAGCATCTTAACTTTTGTATGCACTGGCCACTTTCAAGCAGGCACGATACATGGGTAGCCATCAGAGAGATGCTACGGTTTTCCAAATGTTGAGTATGGGGAAAACAGGTTGCTGAGCAGGTAGGAGGGGGACCCTACCTGTGACCTATTTGGGGAAAAAAATCTAAATGAAGAGCCAAGGACATTGGCCAGAAAGTTCAAAAGAAAGTTTTACAGCACCTTAAAGCAAATCTTTCAATTGCCAAGCACAAAGTACAAGCATGTTCTTTAAATTATCATTACAGAGTTCCTTGCTACTTAGACTGGGCAAGAGATTTTAATTTAAATGGAGGTCTCCTCAGAAGTGCAAAGAGGCCTTTGGGGAGGTGTAGGGGAGGAAAAATGTAATTTTTCAGGCTCCAAGTGTTCTTTTGTGTTTTATAAACAGCTGAGTGACAGCCCAGTGATTAATAAGTTACATAAATAATTATAAGCGACATGTAGTTGAATCTAGTCCACATTCCAGACATGGTACATTAAATAAAGAGAATTCTGCTCTTCCCCCTAGAAGAAAATTTATCTGGTAACAGCAGATAAATCAGAAATGATACTGTTAAAGTATATCCAGTTCTTTAGAGAGACAGCTCATCAAAACCAGAAGTTTCTACTGAACCCCTTTGTCAAGCAAATTGTTTCATGTACTTCAGTCCTACCTTGTACTCATTCAGGATGAAAAATTGCTTTCTTCCTTTATTCATCCTCTCTGGTTGAGCTTATTATTTACCCAGAAGTGCCAATGTGAAGAAGAGTTTTCTGCCAGTACAGCCTCATGCATAGGAAGGTAAATGCTAGTTTGCAGTGCCAACACTGGAGCTCATCAGGAGGCTCATCAGATGTGTTTAATTGGTCATGTTTTACAGCACCATCGAGAAATTCAAGTTAAATTGGTCCATCTTCCTTAGATTAGGCACTGAAAGAGATAAAAATAAAGACTGCCTGCCTATGTTTTCTGTTGCAAGCACACACTTATAGCCCATAGGAATTGAGCAGTATCTTTGTAAGTTGTTCCTGAAGTTTTTAGAGCATCTTCCAGTCTTACCCAGCAAAACAAAAAAGCATGTAATAGAAGAGAGTAGTCTGGCCCAGTGCATTCCATAAGGTTAGGAAATACCCTTTTTTGAAATCCAGCTGTGCCCCAAGATCTCCTTATTGGGTGGAAGGTAAGGATGTGAACTCCAGTCAGAAAGTTGTATGATGGGAATGATCCCAGTACTGAGAAAACATTGAAAAGTAATTTGAAATACGTCTAAGATGATTTAAAAGTACTAGCTAATGCTTAGCACCTTTCTTCCCCTTCTCCACCCACCAAATTCCTTTTGCACGTGTTATTCAGGTGTGTATATGTGACTGTGATCCTCAGACATACCTCTCCCTTTGTGAGTGCTTCATGCCTTCCTTGCTCTTATGGGGAAGAGGAGTAACACAAAGACCTACTTTGGTCACTTCTTATAATATAACACTGAGTGGTTTTCTATATTTTAGAGCTCTAATGAGCTTGTGGAAATATTAAAAAAGAAGAATGCTGGTAACAAACACTGTTCTTTTCATGAATTTCAGTAGAACACTGATCATCTGGTATATCATCTTAGCAGATAGTAGCCACGTTTCCAAGAAATGTCATTACTTCAATAATGAAAGTGTGTTTTTAATGACTTAGATTGTAAAATGAGGCATCATTTCCTAGATTCACAGATTTTAGGGCCAGAAGGGACTTGAATGATCATCTGCTCCCAGTTCTCTTGTAAAAACACCACTAACTTTTTTACTGCTGTTCCTGAAGCAAATGCATTGCTTCTTGTGAAGCTAAGCACAGCTTTTTCCAAAGTGGATTTAGTTGTAGTTTAGTGATAGCACTTAAACTTTCTATGTTTACAATAAATTGCATCTTCATTCCTTTTCTTGCACTTAGGATAATTTACCATTGTAAAGGCTGCTGACAGCAAGAGGAATGCTAAAATTTGACTCCTAAAACAATACACAGACACTTATTTACATTAAATTTCAGCAAAGAATCTCCTGAACAGGAGTACTGCACTGTTATTTTCCTGTTACTACTCCTGGCAGGAGCAGCAGTGATGCTGGTGGCATCATTAGCAGAGGCAGCCACTAGCTTGTTCCTGGACCGTGTATCCCTTCAAAATGGATTGCATGCTGGGATTAGCTCATCAGCTTTTCTGAGGATCAGCTCACATGTTCAGGGTCTCTTTTTTTTTTTTTTTTTTTAAGGTTTTCTCGTACAGGGAAGTTTCAGCCTAAAAGCTCCTGCCTGGAATCTGAAGAAGCAGAGAACTTGCTAGCACATGTTATCCATGTCTTGCCTGCCCCTACTCCAGGGTACAAAGATGAGCACTTAATCAGCCCTTGCTTTCCAAGTTGTTGCCATGGACAGAGAAACCCTGCTCGCACCATGAGATCTTCTATATGAGTTTTGTCTTCCTGACTTTCTTTTCTAACTAACCTTGATCTCTTTTTTCCCCACTGTACATAAAGGCCTTCTGGCAGAAATGTCACCCTTAATCTTCTGTTTATACTTCTGTAGTACATGCTAGTGACCCCTATTTTATCTTGCCAACTTTGCCCTGACACAGCATCAGCTTAATTCCCTCATTGAGGTCCTAGCCAAGCAAAACTCACCTTGTTTTCATCTCTTGTTGTAATGCATTCAAAGCTCTTCCAAGAACACAGAAGATTTATTCTGTCATTTTAATCTGTTCTGGGGATATAGATTATCCAAACAGATGCACACTTTATTTTTAGCTTCTGATTTGTACGCTGCAATAAAAG